AAATTAACAGTATGCTTTAATACAAACACAAACGCTTTTTTGGTTTTTCCCACAAAAGTAACGAAAGCTGAACTCAGCCGAAAAGTTCTCTCTCTTTCCTGAGACTCCATACGTAAATTTATCAGAAGTCAATAAACTGGGTTTATCCATTTTTCTCCATGTCTGTTCATCTATGATAGTGATATCAGATCCTGTATCCAGTTGTAATTTTATTTTTACATTGTTGATTTGCACAAAAACAAATTTCCTCTTTTGAAATGTCTTTTTAATTTCCCTTTAGGCTTCTTATCGTTACTCATGTATTAATCATGTTCACATAGGTTTTATTCCCCCCCATTTTTTGTATCTGCAACACGTACTTTTGTGTCATAATCTCCTACACTCGTAACATTTTTTTGAAAAACAATCACTTTTAAAATGCTTACCTCCACAACCATGACAAGTATTAAGTATTGAGGTGGGGTATATCGTCTTTTTTTCATGTTCTGTCAGGTGTTGAAAACGTTTGTAGTTTTTTCTCTTAGATAGTCGGACACTATGTACTTGGAAATTATCTTTTTCCTTAATCCTTGCGATATCGAGTTTCAAATTCACAATACGTTGCCATTCTTAGGCTATTTTCTGGAGAGTTAATTTGGAATCTATTTCTAATTTAGCAAGTATCCTGAATCTTATCTCTGCGTCCTTATTAGAAGTTAAACCCTGTACGAATATCGTGCATTTAAATAAATCAGGAGTTAATTCATTTAACTTGAACTTTTCACATTCTCGATTCCCGACTCTTGCATAAGTGACAAAATCTTCATTGTCGGAATTGCCATCGTATATTAAATAATGAACTCCTATCACCAAAAATTTTTGATAGTATTAGAACAGTTTCATCAAAATTTATCTCTCCTGATATTTTAGGCAAAATATAATTCACAAATTTTTCATGTTCCGCAGGGGACAATTTCCTTAATAATAAACGAACTTTCTTCTCATCATTCCAACGCGAACAATCCCTTTTGAAGATCTCTTCGTATCTTCTATAATAAGCTGAAAAAGTTATCCCTTCGTCTGGATTGTACACAAACTAGGTGATTGAATTAGCAACAGCATCTGGAGTGAATGAATCTGAAGTGTTTCTTTCCATGATTATGGTAAACAACTCAACAAACTTCTGTTGTTGTAGTTGTAATTGTAGTTCAGTTTGTTGTTTTTGTTACTGCAAATGTTGTTCTTTTTGTCATTTTTGTTGGTGCAACTATTATTCTTGTTATTGCTTCTGTAGCGCTAACAATTTGAGCCATGATAGATTTTAGTTATTCCATTTCACTGTACTCTTCTGAACGAATCCTCGTGTAAGCTCAAGGAATACTTGCGAATCATTGTCGCCACTTTTGTGATGTCAATGAATACTCGTTGCCACTTTTGTGATGTTCGTTCTTGTAGAGAATTTGTAATCGCAGATACAACTATAGTATGGCGTTGAATAATGCTGGTGTCAGGCGCTTTCGAATAATCTCGCACTAAGAGTACTTGCTCAATAATACTCGCTCGAATAGAAATCCTTATCGCGATCCGAATAGTGAAATAGTATAGAGAATAGCGGTCCATATAGTAATAGAGGATAGAGTAGAAACAGTGATCCGTATAGTAACAGAGGACAGAATAGAAATGTGATCGTTTAGACGTCACACTACTTTCTACTTATGTGTTTTTCCCATAGTCATGTGATCCACTTAATGGGATCGCCTGTATTTACTCTCTGGTTCAAAATCAAGTGTCGGTTGTGACACTTTATTCCTATATAACAAATACCATATAAAACATGAAGCTGAACGAATCCCAAGTGACTTCTGAATATTATAGCATTATGATAGTTTACAAAAATACAACTACACTTTGTAATCTTTTTACAGTTGTTAGTCTGTAACTGGAGAATAGTTTAATAAAAAATAGCATTCGTAGCATTGTTATGTGTGTGTAATATAGAAGGTGATATGTAAAAGAGAAAATCCTATTGCAAATAATATCCGAGGAGACATTGGTGTACATTACCTTATGTGGAATTAATTTGGAATAACATATATAGAAAGTTGTTGGAGAGTGACAAAGAGAGTTATTTAGAATAAGATATACGGAAAGTGACAAAAATTGCAAGAATCGGCATATATAAACTTGTTACATAGATGTTTGCATCAAACCTTCGTAAATTCAAACATGGTGTGGTTTTTTTTATTCAACATGTGCATTAGTTACTTAACAAACAGAATAAGTAGAAGCATCTCAGTGTCTAAATTATGGAATAAGCTGTCTTCAATGCATTGCTGAAAATATAATAACTTATGTTACATATATTGATGTAAACACTGGGGCACCCCGAGGCGGTGTAATGATTAGCAAGTTTGTCTCGCTAGAACAATTACGACTGAGTAGTGAGTTCGATCCTCACTGGGTATCCCCTAATTTCGGCCTTGTGCCACATCTTAAGCTACGCTTGGAAAATCACTATGTTGATGTAAACATTTTCTATTGTTTTCTGATTTGCTCTATCGAAAAAAGAACCTCTTATTATATGGGCTATCCATATATATCTGAAGAACGCTCTAGAATGGAAATACTGTGGAAACAACATAAAAAAATAATGAATGAGTTCAAATATCTGAAAAAGTATTGAAAACAATGTATTTTAATATTTTCATAGCTGTTTTAAACTTTTTCTTTATATTTTATCATAAATTTTGTAATAATCGACTTAATTTTGTTCATCTTTTCTTTTTCATCTGCTAAGTATTTATAAACAGTCCTTTCTGATTCATCTAACTTTGAAAACGTTAAGAAAAGGAGAATAGATAATATGTAATAAAAACAACTTATGTACGATGGTCACCGACAGGGTAGGCGAAAAGACAGAAGGTAGATTTTACGACCACGTAGTCTCGTCTAGGTGCTTATGTTCCCAGTATGAGCCCTCAATAAATTACTTTTAAAATGTGACAATACATCATACAAACTATTATGCATTTCAGTTCTTTCAAACATATAGGGCTTCAGCCATCCCATCCATCACCCAATTCCTATGTACATTTACAGGTTAAATAAAAAATTGCTTTCTTCTACTCTGATCGATGTATTTAATGGAAAAGAATCAAGCAAAAACTTCCTAAGCTAAAATTTTGACGTGCTTTTCTCAACTAGATGCACTCTAATTTTTTAATCATTTTGGTGACAGATATTTTTTATGTTTTACATACCTGCTGAAATAATTCTGTTCTCATTAACTTGTTAATTCAGCCTCCGAGTCATTTCCTACCTTAGTCGTAAAAAAATAAACGATACAATCATTCTAATATATTAATTCTATTTTTCTCTCTGCTTCTTTTTGTTAGTATATTTTACTTACAATTCGACTTTCCATCTATAAAATCTATCTATAGGTAAAAGAAGGCAGGGAACTGAATTATCAGCTAAAAGAGAAAACTCAAAGAAAAAGATTGAAGATATAGATGTTACATTTTAGTTAATGCGCACAAAACTGTGTCCAGAAATATGGATACGAAGTTTATCTCACAGAGCACCGATAAACTTCATTTTCACATATGCATCATTGCTGCTGCATCGAAGACTAACTTAAATAAATATTATAGGGTCTAATGCAGTGCGTATTTGAAATAAAGTTCATAATTTTGTGAGTATAATCTATATTTTATGCCATTCATCATAGGATACACATTTTAAATAACTGGGTTGTGTACAGTCTTATTAAACATCATATGACTAATATATATATATATATATATATATATATATATATATATATATATATATATATATCATTGTTCAGGACACACGCACCCACCCACACACATATATATATGATAAAATATAGTTTTAATGTATGCTATATTCTTGTGTTAATGTGTTTAACATCAGTTATAGATCATATGTAACTATAAACGTGGGTTTTGAAGTCAACACCCAAAGGAGATAGTCTGTTTCATGCAAAACGTGCCTGATGATTACGTTTAGCCTGAATCAGACTGTCACCTCTGGGTGTTGACTTCAATGCTCACTTTTATATATATATATACATACACACACACACACAAATATGTATATATATATATATATATATATATATATATATATATATATATATATATATATATATAGATAGATAGATAGATAGATAGATAGATAGATCGGTATATCTATATATATAAATATGTTTGTGTTAGTAAAATAAAGTACCAATTCAGTAAAGTTTCAAATACTCCTACCAACTCTGATCATATATACAGAATGAAATTCTTCTGTGAAAACCGGTTTTATTTACTGTTATCTGTAGCATATTCCACTTTCCCTTTGATTTATTACCTTTTCCATTGTTGCAGTACATTAATATTTTATCACTCATCACTAAACAAAAACAAATATATATTTAGTAGGCATTTTTGTTTACCCTATGTACATGTCAAACATAAATGTGACTAACAAACCACATACGTACAAATGATTTCTAACTATTAATTTTTACATTTTGAATATTTTTATTATTGTCATTACTATAATCTATCTATCTATCTATCTATCTATCTATCTATCTATCTATCTATCTATCTATCTATCTAATGTTTAGCCATTTGATTAAATTAGTCAAGGCAGGAACGTTTCTGCAGCCCTGTTATCCCCATCAGAAAAAACGTTTTGTATTCCTTCTAATGACATAATTTATTTATCCATACGTTCACTTCTCCGCGTGTGCACGTATATAGGTGTGTGCCTGTGTAAGCGCGTGCACGTTTATAGGTGTGTGCCTGTGTAAGCGCGTGCACGTTTATAGGTGTGTTTGCAGTAAATAAAATAGCAAACTTTTGGACGGAAAATTAAAACATATAAAAAAAAGAAAGAAAGATATTCATGTTGTTCCAAAGAAATAAATATGAAATCAGCATGAATTACCAAAGACTTTTGGACATGAATTATTCTGATGAAAAACTTTTGGAAAGGAATGATTAAAGTAGAAAGAAAAGAAAGAAAGAATTAGAAAAACTTTTACGGAAAGAAAGAAAAAGAAAAAAAAGAAAGAAAGAAAGAAAGAAAGAAAGTATGGCGTTAGCATGAATTAGTAAAAAACTTTTGGACGGAATGATTATTAGAAAGAAAGAAAGAAAGAAAGAAAGAAAGAAAGAAAGAAAGAAAGAAAGAAAGAAAGAAAGAAAGTAGACTATGGCGTTAGCATGAATTAGTAAAAACTTTTTGGACGGAATGATTATTAGAAAGAAAGAAAGAAAGAAAGAAAGAAAGAAAGAAAGAAAGAAAGAAAGAAAGAAGATTATGGCGTTAGCATGAATTAGTAAAAACTTTTTGGACGGAATGATTATTAGAAAGAAAGAAAGAAAGAAAGAAAGAAAGAAAGAAAGTAGACTATGGCGTTAGCATGAATTAGTAAAAACTTTTGGACGGAATGATTATTAGAAAGAAAGAAAAAAGAAAGAAAGAAAGAAAGAAAGTAGACTAAGCATGAATTAAAAAAACGAAAGAAAAGAAAGAAAGACTAAAGCGTTAGCATGAATTAAAGAAAAAAGAAAGTTGGACGGAATGATTATTAGAAAAACTTTTTGAAAGAAAGAAAGAAAGAAAAAAAGAAAGAAAGAAAGAAAGAAAAGAAAGTTAGTTTGTGATAATATATTGTGCGGGAAAGGGAAAATAAGTTATCCACGTGAAATGAATACTGTGGGGCGACCGCGGAAAATTAGAAATATCGAAGAATGGTCATTGTGATAAAGGAAATGACGGTAGAAATATTGCTGACCAGAAATTCCCGATGAAAGACTAGAGCAAATAGGCCGCGTGCCGACATTAGCGGAAACTGTGGTTAAAGGATGGGTGTGGTCCTTTCGCGTAGACGCTGTGACACGCTTGCCTTTTATACTGTGGCTGCGAGTCTCTAAATGACAAATAAAGAAAAAAAATGAAACAGCCAT